GCTGACTTCTCACTGGGTCTCAAACGTGTGTGAGAACAGGTGCCAGCTGAGGACTGGCCACCAGGAGCCTCCAGGACCACATGCAGCCTCATCTCACTCCCTTTGACCACGTGCCCTTCCAGAGAAGGGAGGGGCCCAAGGGAGGGACATGCAATACAGTCCTCTTCCAGCAGAGGGCGCCAATACCCACTGAGAGAGGCCAAAGGCAGGAAGCACATCTACCCCTTCAAGTCTCCTCTCTGGCGGCCTACAACCCATGAGGCACCAGGCCCAGCAGAATGGTCCAGGCTGTGGGAATTGATGAAGGGAGGCTGGGCCTGCCCACGGTCACTGCAGACTCTGCCTGGGTCAGGAGAACCTTTAAACAGAATGGGAGACTGAATTTGAGGTGGGATCAGCCTGGACTTTTATTCTATAAAAATGAGAAAGACTTTCTTCTGCTCAGATGTTGCCCAAGTGCACAGTGGTGAGAGGAAGAGTGCTGCTTCCTGCCCAGTCTGTCACTGGAAGCTACACTTACACACTCCTGTGAGCAGTTGGCTCAAGGTTCTATCTCCCAAACATCTGGTGAGTGTCATGGGAGTAGGGATAGAGATTCAGACAGAAAGAGGGAGGAAGGACCAAGGAGAGGGGCAGGGAGGAGTCCTAGGACTGATTCTGGGAGAGAACCTCAGCTTGGGGTCCCAGCCCAGGCAGAAAACTCTTCCTCCCCCAAGCGGGAGAACCAACATCTGTTTCCTTGGCTTGGGAGGTAGTCCCAGGTAGTTGGCCCCCTACCTGGACCTCTCATCACCTGGCCTCCAGGAGGGCCCCATCCACAAAGTCCATTGGCCACACCCACCAGTGAGGACACTCAGTCAGAGCCTGTTGTTGACGTGCTTTATTGAGAGCGGTAGGGGCTGTGGTCCAGCGGGCTTTCTCCAGCCCGGCCTCACCTTTCGGAGTTAACAGAATCTTCAGGGCAACATCCCTGCTGTCTCTGTCAGCTGTCATGGGAGTGACAGGACTCAGGGGAAGATGGTGGGGCATGGGGGGACAGTCTCAGAGCTGGGGATGGAGAGGGACATGGGGGTCTCCAAAGATCCTGCAATATCTCTTCATGACAGAAGCTTCCTTGTCCCATCCCAGAGCTCAAGGAGATGAAGAGACATGGCAGAGGATCCATCTGTAGTAGAATGCCACTTGGGCATAGACTCCAGGGAATTCTGGATGACAATAGCGTTGGGTCCAACTCACAACCCCTACCTGGAGCCAGTTGCCCATCCAGTTACAGACCAGGGGGCCACCAGAGTCTCCCTGTGGAGGGAAAGAGCCAATAATGAGTATCAGGGTCTGTGATGTTTTGGAGCAGGGTCAGCAAGCAGGAGACATGGACAGATGACAGGATGGGGGGGGTTCTCACATGGCAGACACCCCGGCCTGGGCTCCCAGCACACAGCATGTCCTCCTTGACGATCGTATTGATTTCACGATATTTCCACCTGCAAACAACATTCTCCACGATGGGGACCTCCACCTCCTGCAGATGGTGGGGCACAGGCAGGGGCACTGTGGGGAGAATGAGGGGCACAGGATGAGGGGGTTTGTGCCCTCCCTCACTAACCTGGTCCATTCAATGACACTTGCAATGTCCTCAGATGCTCAAGGGCAGAGGCTGAGTCTGCATCTGGGAGCCCTAGGTGTTGGGTTTGGAGCCACACCCTGAGTCTTAGCCACACCCTGAGTCTTAGTCCCCCCATGTGCCCAGGGTGACACACAACCCACCCTTCATGTTCACTCTGTGCCCGTGGGCTGGTACTGTCTGGGCTGGCACCATGGGCAGCAGGATCGGGGAGACCAAGGTGGAGCCTTCTTAACACTCAAGGAAATTTGACTCGGAAAATCAGAGCAGGTGTTTTCCCACCTGAAACGCTGAGTGGACTTGGTCCACTGACAAGTGCAGACCGTAAGTAGGACCCTTGGCCCCCCGTTTCCCTTCCTCACCCCTCAAGATGCAGGGAGAACAGAGGACCCAGAAGGGCTCAGAGTAACAACAGAGCTCCCTTCTCACTACAGCTCGTCTCTGTGACTTAACCGTGTCCCCTGGAGCCACCAACCCCATGGCCCAGCCTTCCCCACCCTCACTGATCCCAGGGAGTTGAGGCCTCGTTGATAACCCTGTGCAGCTGCCCACTGTGTTCTCCCTCCTCCAGTGTCCTGTCCACCCATCATCCTGACCCTTACCATGAAATCTGATGTTACCCCAGCCAGTCACCCAACACCTCGTGCCTGCAGGGACCCTGAGCCCTGGATGAGGGAGGGTGACCAGGTTGACTCTATCAGACAGCATAATGGGAGCTTCCAGTTTGAGAAGTGCCACGTCTCCTCCAGCTGGTGCGCCCAGCATAGGATTGTAGTTGGGGTGGATGATGACCTCAGTCACGTTCTGAAGAATGCCACCCTCAGAAGTGTTCACTTGTCCCACTTGAACCCCAAAGTGCCGAGGCTCCAGTCTTCCTCTGGTGGGGAGAGAAGACCGGAAGCTTCTCAGAGGTGAGGCACAACGTGGATCAGCACAGAGCAGGAGGGGGCCGGCCTGTCAGAGCCCAAGGCACCCCTTGGAGATGGGAGAGGGGGATGTGGGAGGGAGAACCCCCCAGGACTGCAGCCTCCCCACCCAGGAAACTCCACAACACACGGCAGCGCCCTCCACAGTGTCAACAAACCAGGGGGAGGGGAATCACTCACCGTTTAACACAGTGGGCAGCAGTCAGCACCCACTGGCGGTGGATGAGGGACCCTCCACAATTGAACACCCACTTGTCATTGTTTGGGTTCTGGATCCACA